CAGATGCTCAATGCAAGAGCTGCCCTCTGGTGGTCAGGGCGCTCTCACATGGGAGGAGCTCTGCTCAGCCACAAGTCATGCTGATGGCTGCCAGTACAGTGGTGGAGGTGGGAGCCTCTCCTGCCTCCTCAGCAGCGCTAAGGATGTCCGAATTCAGTTTAGGCCTGCTCCCCGCTGGCAAGTAGACATCCCCCGAGGGCTGCCGGACTGCCAGAGTGATGTCTGATGGCCATCTTAGGCCCAATCCCCCAGGGAGCGGGCCTAAGCCAGCAGGTGGTCATCCCCCGAGGGGTCCCAGACTGTGAGAAGGCACGGGCTGGGCTGAGGGACTCCCCTCCCCCGAATGCACAATTTTTTGTGCACCAGGCCTCTAGTATAATTATAAGAGTAACCCCCCCCCAAAAATAAAAATAAAAACCAGCAAGGCCCAAAGCTAGTGGGCATGGAGATGAGGACAATTACCTCATAAATTAAAGGTAGAAATGTGAACTGTTATAACTTTCATATAAAACCTGAAATAATATGTAATATGAAACCATGTATATGCATATATACACACAGATGTATGTAGCAGCTTGCTTTTAGCAGAACTATATATTTCATATCAATCAATGTTATAAATAATTGAGTGAATTTATAAATGGTTAATGCCTACCATAAAATATCATACAGGTATTATGTTATTGGGGCACATGGGAAATTGTTTATTATATGTTACTAGAGGCCCGGTGCACAAAATTCGTGCACAGGTACCATCCCTAGTCCCGGCCTGTGATCAGGGCCATCATCCCCGGCAGGCCAGCAGCCAGCCCTGCCCCTCACCACCACCCACCCCTGGTACCCTGTTTGCCATCTTGCACCTCAGGTGGGCGCAGCCCAGGATGTACTTCGAGACCATGTAGGAGGCTGTGATTCCCCTGGTGGAGGCCCATTCGAGGGAGGTGCTTTTGTGTGGAATTTCTTTAAGGTAAGGGATGGGGTGTGGGCTCAATGCCTGAGAGAGTTCCAGGGGGTTGGTTGCACTATCAGGGTCATTCTGATCATACCTGAATGGTCACTGTGTTTATTTGCTGGAGGATTAACGAGAGAGAGAGAGAGAGAGAGAGAGAGAGAGAGAAAGACATCAATGATGAGGGAGACACATCATTTGGTTGCCTTTGGCATGCACCCTGATCATGGATGGATATAGAGCCTGCAACTGAGGTATGTGCCCTTGGCTGGAATTGAATCAGGGACCCTTCAGTCCACAGGCCAATGCTCTATCCACTGAGCAAAACAGGCTAGGGCTAATAGTCATCACTCACATTTTATATGTTTAAAACAACACACTTGAATTTTTTCTGCAGCCTATTTTTCTTTCCATCATTTCCACATAAGAAAATTATAAAACTGTCCAAATCTTGGACCTCCTCTCAGAAAGTCCAACCCACTTCTACTCTGAAATGATATCCCAACTCTGACTACTCTCACTATCGTGTACAGAGAACTATGAGATCCAGAGTGCTGTGATTTCTCTCCTGGGACATTGCCATAATCTCCTGACCTTTGTCCAAGCTGCCACTCGTTCCTTCCTAGTGTCAATTCTCTAAATGAAAGCACATTCTGCTAAAATAATAAGTAATACTAGTATGTTAGTGTTCTGTTAAGCTCTTACGATAGTTTTCAATCTTAATTAGAATAATACCCATAGACCTTTTAAAGACTTAGCAGGTTGGACTCCAGATTGCTCTGATCTCATTTTTTTTAAGTATATTTTATTGATTTTGTACAGAGTGGAAGGGAGAGGAAGATGGGGAGAGAGTTAGAAACATCGATGAGAGAGAAACATCAATGAGTTGCCTCCTGCACAGCCCCTACTTGGGATGTGCTGCAACCAAGGTACATGCCCTTGACTGGAATTGCACCTGGGACAGGCTGACGGTCTTTCCACTGAGCCAAACCGGGTAGGGCTCTGATCTCATTTTTTAAAGCTTTTAGGCCTTCTGATCTCACTGCTGCTAATCAAATTCATCTAGCATATTGAGTGAAATGTTATCAAAATAAGAACAAGGAATAGTTCACTTTACTGAAAAATGGGAAATAGATAGGAATAGTACTTTTCAAAGTAAATAAATGGATGATGAGCATATTGAAATAGTTTAACAATTACTAATATGGAAGCTGCATTTAATCTGTTTTCCTCTGGATAGACCACTGAAGTACCTATCATTAAAAGATATTAATAATAACGGCTGTCATCTTAGGTTTTTATCATGTGTTTGTGAAGTGTTTCCCAGTATTATTACAGGGCCAGAGTTACCAGCAAGCAAGGCACTCCCTCCAGGATATGACTTTAACCTTTGAGGTTCCACTTTCATGTAGAACTCACACTAATGGCTTTGCTCAACTGACACTGTTAAGGACCTCTCTCTCTCTCTCTCTCTCTCTCTCTCTCTCTCTCTCTATCTCTCTTTTATTATATATGAACTCTGAGGTCACTTTCACTCAAGAGAAGTTCAACATTATGAAATCTGACAAACGGGCATCTCACCTCTACTTAATGCACTGTGTAGATTTCTTGCTTCTTTAGCAGGGTTATAAACCAAGACATATATTAAAATGAACTCAGGTATGCAAAGAAATATTTTGCAAAGACTCCAGGTTTACAAAAACAAGAACAACAACAACAAAACCATACCCTTATGGTTATATCATGTACCAGCCCATCCTATTTACTTACGGTCCTATTTCAGTAAACTCTTTTTAGTAGAGATATAGGAATCATGACCCTCTTAGCATATCACCTGCAGTCCTCCACAGTATGGAGTAACTTTGGCTTAACTAAGCTTCCTTGCTTTCCTCATGATTCAAATACACACACATATGACTCTAAAGAATCTGTCCAAATATTTTCCCCTCTGCATTTCCTTTAAGAAGACATGCATATTTAACACTGTTTAGATATACCAACTTATGATTCAAAAAAGTTAAATATTTCCACTTACTTTGTCACAGAACACATGCTATAACTATCAAGAATATAATTTCTCTCTTATTTAGCAATTGAGATGCCGAAGTGAAAAATAGTATTAAGACAAATACCCAATTCTATATACTAAAAATGGAATTAACACAAACAAATAAAATAAGTAAAATAGGTTTACTAAAAAATAATACACATATTTAAATAGGTATTCACTTGTAAATTTACTAACATTATTTTCTTTTAGGAGGGAGTGCATGGTGGAGTGTGGGATTTCCCAAGAAGGCGGACAGGGCAGTTCAGTTGCAGCCCACAGGGTGTGCTTCATGGCCTTGGGTGTGATGAGGGGGTGAGTTCCAGCTCCTGAAGGGGTGACAGGACAAGATGGGCCAGGTACGCTGAACATCAGGGGTGACTCAGGGAAGGTGGAATAGTCTAGAGGAAGAAACAGTGCTGCCCCAACCTCTCTTTCCAGAGCAAAAATATATCTGACAGATTCTAGGGAATTCAATGGAGGCGGTAAGGCAGTTCTTTGGTGAGAAACACCAGAGTGCTCTGGGTGCTGTAGGTTCCATATCCTGAACTCATTTACTGGTAAGGTGAGAGGGGTCATGCCACTAGCAAGCAAACCCCAGTCCTCTTGTTGCCCCTACCCCACTCACTGTCAGAGTGCAGCAGAGCTCAAAGAATAAGTTAATATCTATGTAGAAGGATTCAGGGAAAGAAACACAGGCAACTCAGACACAAACAAAAATCTTAAAAAGTAGAGAAACTGTGATCTAAATTGTAAGATGATACACTGCGAAATAAATAAACACAATATTAGTTCATTATGAGATATATGGTGATAAAACAGAAGGCTAGTATCCTTCATAAAAGAAAAGATACAGACCACCAAACTTATAAGCATTAATACATGTTATATAAGCATATACTATACTAGAGGCCCGGTGCACAAATATTTGTGCACTGGGGGAGGTGGGTCTCTCAGCCCAGCCTGTGCCCTCTCACAGTCTGGGACCCTGCAGGGATGACCACCTGCTGGCTTAGGCCCACTCCCTGGGGGATTGGGACTAAGATGGCCATCAGACATCACTCTGGCTGCCCGGCAGCCCTCGGGGGATGTCCACCTGCCAGCGGGGAGCAGGACTAAATTGCAGTTGGACATCCTTAATGCTGCTGAGGAGGCAGGAGAGGCTCCCACCACCACCTCTGTACTGGCAGCCATCAGCCTGGCTTGTGGCTGAGCAGAGCTCCTCCCATGTGATGCTCCTGCATTGAGTGTCTGCCCGCTGGTGGTCAGTGTGTGTCATAGTGACCAGTCATTCCCAGTCTTTCTGCTGTTAGGGTCAGTTTGCATATTACCCTTTTACTATATAGGATAGAGGCCTGGTGCATGTGTGGGGGCTGGCTGGTTTGCACTGAAGTGTGTCCTGGATCAGGGTGAGGGTCCGGCTTAAGTGCCTGGCCAGCCTGGATGAGGGGATGATGTCTGTTTGCAGCTCGTCACACCCCCTTCAGGGTGGGGGTCCCCACTGGGGTGCCTGGCCAGTCTGAGTGAGGGGCTGAGAGCCGTTTTCAGGCTGGCAGGTGATTGAAGCTCTCAACCTCTCCTTTTTTCTTTTTTCTTTTTTTATTCTCGGATTTATTTACCTGCTATGGCTGTCACTGGAACTGAGAGCCGGCTTTAGCTCTGAATCTCGGCTCTAGCTCTGAGA